CCTGACACCCGAGCTCCTACAATTTTCTTCTAAGCTGGGCCACACATTGATACAATTAAGTGCAGCAACTGCTGGGCGAGGACACAATCCCTTCGTTTTGTTTGGCCACCGCTATATATTTACCATTGGAAATCACTGCTTTCGCTCTGTATTTGCTTTGATGCATTTGATCTCAGCAGGCAAATGCCAAGCAAATGACCTTTAAAAAGTATTTCCTGTCGATTTGTATTGTGAGTAGGCACATTTACATATTATTGTTCGTATTTAAAACATAATACGTAAATTTCGATGTAAAGCTTTCGTGACTGCAGGAATTCATCTTCTTGGTTTTTTCGGTAAAGTCACGTAGAAGGGAAGTAATTCTTCACCTGAAGACGGCTGCTTGCGTTGTGGCCGAAACGTCGTGAGAATTGTTTTATAATGTTTAAATTTTATTATTTTATTACTTCCCTTCTACGTGACTTTACCGAAAAAAACAAGAAGATAATACGTAAAATTTGCGATGTGTTTGTCTGAGTTACAAAGCAATGTTTTAAACCTATACGATGTCAAACACGTATCATTGGATCAGTGCGGCAGGAAAAAACAGAGAGTATTTTTTTCCCAAATCGAGTTTCGTTCACCCCCCGATATTTACCCAGGGGTTTTATCCGGCGAGGAAGAGCAGCAATTGCCCAGGGTGAATACCAGACGAGATTGGATCGCATGTGGTTGTGGTCCAATACCCGAATGTGGGGAGAATGCCAGACGCAACCGCATGCATGGAGCGATCACAAAAGGCAAATGGATTGAGAAATGTCTTCACACCACATTCAACAGGCAGTCATAGTCTCCTCAATGTGATGCATCATACACACACACACTATACAACATTTTAGGAGGCCATGGCATACATACTTTCACTTACGTACTGTACCTCCACAATGATAATAGTAATAATACATTATGTAGTTCGAAGGCATATTGTCATATATGAAAATAGTAATATTCTTGGTTCTTTCGGTAAAGTCACGTAGAAGGGAAATTTTCTTGCTGTGGATTTCACACCTGATGATGATTGCTTGTGTTGCAGTTCCCTTCTACGTGACTTTACCGAAAGAACAAAGAATATGAATCCCTGCAGTCACGAAAGCTTTAAATGAAAATAGTAATTTCAATCTTTTTCTAAATATTATTTAAATAATTTGGTCAATTCCTCCCACCGTGTCGGTCATGTTTTTTTACCATACTTTACCACCCTGGCCAATGCGGGCTGGTGAAGCAGGTGGTATAGAATGTGTTCAGATATTACTCACCACTGATGATAGTCGTGGCCAGGAATCGAACGCCGGTGGGTGGACTTGTAGCGCAGTGCGCGACCCACTGGACCATCGCTTTCCTTATATAGGATAATCCCTTTGTCATTCCACTGCTGGATAAAGAGCTCCCCACGCCCTGTCAGTCAAAGGGATTGATTGACCATACTTGACTACGCTGGCACTTGTGTGTTCGTGAAAGGGGGGGGCCACGGTCAAGAATCTAACTCAGGTGGTCAGTTTCAGAGCGTATTGCTCTCATTCACTGCACGATCTCTCAAACTGTGAACTGGTTTCGACCGTCTGGGTCTCATCAGAATTACCATTTCATTGCCCAAGAGTGCGTGGTGCATTTTATGAGAGTATGCGTTGTGTATATGTTCATTGATATATTGTGTTTTCACACATGTAATGTACTGTATAGTGTATATGTACCGACCAGACGGTACATGCTATGGGTTGTTCAATACGGTATACAAGCTCTCAGTTGTAAGCTCGTGTGTTAAACTCTGTTGCAGAGTAAACACCACCCACCACCCACGCCATCAAGACTGCCACTCTACGCCCGACCTTATGGAAGAGGTACGTAGATGACACTTTTGTCATCTGGCCACATGGCCGGCCTGCTCTAGACCAATTTCTCGACCACATCAATTCCATACACCCAGCCATCAGATTCACCATGGAAGTCGAAAAAGATGGCAAGCTACCCTTTTTGGATGTCCTAATTAAAAGGAGACCTGATGGTTCAATGAGCCACTCTGTCTACAGGAAAGCCACCCATACGGATGCTTACCTAAAACCGGATTCCCACCACCATCCATCCCAGAAGAATTCCCTCATCAAGACTCTATACCATAGAGCCCAATGCATTTCCGACCAGGAACACATTGGCAGTGAGCTCAAACACGTACGCCAAGCTCTTAAGGCTAATGGTTACTCCGACTACACAATCCGCAAGGCCATCACTCCAACCATCAAGAATGATCCTGTTGAGGAGCCTTTCAAGACCATCACCTTACCCTACATTGCTGGGGTCACAAAAAAGATCTCCAAAATCCTGATTAAACACAAGATCCAGGTCCGATTCAACACAGTACATAAAAACCGTGATCTGGTCCCGTCTGTAAAAGATGTGGTTCCAGACATACAGTACCCTGGCGTCTACAAACTAAGTTGCCTCTGTGGTAGCAGTTACATTGGAGAAACCAAACGACATGTCTCGGACCGCATCCGTGAACATAAGGCAGACCTGAAACACGGTAGGACAAACACCTCAGCCGTGGCAGATCACTGTTACAATTCAGTGGGCTCACATGACATTGACTTCTCCAAGACAGAGGTTCTCTGCAAGCCATCTGGCTATCATGAGAGATTCGTTCATGAGGCGATCCACATATACAAACACAGAGACAATTTCAACCGAGAAGATGGATTCTGGCTTAGCAATCATTGGAAGGACGTAATAAACCATTTCGGATCTTAACTGATTGTGTTCACGTTTACGGTGACTTTCAGACCGCGTTCCACTCACTGGCATGGTGCAGTGTGCAGAGTAATGTATGGTGTCGTAATTGTATAGTAAATATATAGCAGTGTAATACACATTAGGGTGGGTAGAATAATACATAGTGTTATATTAAATGGATAAGGCAGCAACTGCAATAGCAGCAGCAACTACAGCAGCAGCAGCAACTGCAGCAGCAGCAGCAACAGCAGCAGCAGCAACTGCAGCAGCAGCAGAAACTGCAGCAGCAGCAGAAACTGCAGCAGCAGCAACTGCAGCAGCAGCAGCAACTGCAGCTCCCTTTGATGCTGTTAATCCTGCATAATGCACATGCATATGCAGTACTAATCACATTCCTGCACTTCCCATAAATATGCTAAATTCCTCTTGATATGCAAATTCCTTTGTCAATGCGCCCAGCTTATATATATGCTCCAAGCTCGTGTGCTGTTTAATTCAGACTCTGTCGCCTCGACGGACTTGGTTTTCACCTGAGGACGGCTGCTTGCGTTGTGGCCGAAACGTCGTGAGAATAATTTTATTATGTTTTATTTTTATTATTTTTATTATTTTATTACTTCCCTTCTACGTGACTTTACCGAAAGAACCAAGAAGACCACCCACATATCAGAGTTCAATCTGCAGTTAGTGAAATGAGTACCAGCTTGTGCAGAACACCACTTGGCGAGTCAAGGGGCCTCCATAAATGACGTCACGCACCTGGGGGGGGGGGGGGGTCAGACATTTGTGACGATGTGTGACGAGGGGGGGGGGGGGTTGAGAAATGTGCCGTCACATCAAAATGCGCAACTTTAAATAAATATAGACAACACGTTCTACTTAATTAAATATACTTTGTAATAAATATTTTCTCCTACAACATCAGAGTGCAGCGCCACGTGTAATATGCACTACAATAGTTTAAAGCGAATTGAAGCATGTGTTTTTTTTTGGGGGGGGGGGGCAGAGCTTTGTGACGTCATATTTGAGGGGGGGGGGGTCTGACTTTTTGTGACGCCGTGTGACGAAGGGGGGGGGGGTCAAAAATCGTCCAAAATCGCGTGACGTCATTTATGGACGGCCCATAAGAGACGGTTATCCGATTGAGAAAACCTCACACCTCTGGCTCAATAGTAGAATGAGCACAATCCAAGGTTGTAAAGAACACATGTATAGCCATGCTGATCGGCGTACGTACACCCCAGAAAGTGAAATGTGATGCAAAGGACATAGATTGAACGTACAATAGTATCTGTATGCATTGCAGATATAGTATGGGGAACATGTCGGGAGGCTGAGATAAGGACAACGCATATGTTGACACAAATCTAAAATGTTACATTTCATTGCGTACATTTAATTATCTCTGCAATGTGTTTCAAATGATGGCGCCCTTCGAAAACAATTGCAATTGGCCGCGTGGAGAGAGATCAGCGTGTGTTTTATGAAATCCGGTCACGAATGTATTTTCGTCGTCGTCGTCGTTTTCATACATCGTATAACTTTTCCATTTTTTTTGTGTGATTTGAGAATGATGCAGAGCCTTCCACGCTTCATTAAACACGTTCTCGAGCGCAACGCGTGCGTTGCGTTAGCAATGTTCTATACGTATGGGTAATGTCTTTCCGCAGTTTGGCGCCCGCAAAGATGTCTCGGCTCATCGCAGCCAGAAGTCCCAATTAGCTTCCAAGAGCGTTCGGCGGAAGAGACACACACACATACAGACTGCGTGTTACAAAATCGTGCTACGTGACTGCTGATTTTTTCCCCCACAATATACAACATCGTCGCATCAGACCCACCTTACCCGTGGCACGTGCACGCAACACGCGCAACGATGCGCGCACGCGCACGTATCGGTATGGTGGATGTCGGGATTATTTATTTCATTTGTTCACCAATTTGCACCGTGCCCATCACAACAGCGCAGCAGCGTTTTGCGCTTTCTTTAGCGAGGCGACGTGAACCGCCGACTCCAACGGTGGAGCTCGAAGCGCTGCGAGACCGGAGACGAAAGGCGGGGGAGGTGGTAGTCCGGGCCAGCCACCGCACCCCGCAGACCGCCACTGTTTACCTATTTCGGCTCGGCGGGACGCACTGAATGCAAATGCGTCCGGGGGGGGGGGGGGGGTGGAGGAAAGGTTGGGAGGGGGGGAGGAAGCTGAGCCGCTGCTTGCTTGGAGAGGGACGGACGTGGGGGCGGGAGCTGCAGGCCACGCGTGGCTGCTCTCAGAACGTGCGCAAAAGAGCGCATCTGATTAAGTGCGAGCCCCATTGCAGGGGCACTGAAGGCTGACCTGGAGGGTATATTTTAAACAGTCTTGCGTGTCGATAAATACCCCCCCCCCCCACACTCCTTGCCCGCCCGCAATCTGGGTCCCCCCCCCCACCAGCACCACCACCTCCTCCCCCTCTTTCAGCCTCATCCCTAAATCCCGCACCCATCGGCGCGGTCGGGTGGTGGTTGCCGGGAGCTTCCTTTGAACGAACGGCGCGCGCTGCGCCCTGCAGCCGATAGCGACTGACAGACGACTTCTGCCCAGCGCACACACACACACACACAGAGCAAGAGAGGAGCGACATCCCACGGTGCGCCGCGTTATCGAGGGGAAGACGTTCTCCACCCCAGACGTTGGGTGGTGGTGGTGGTGGTGCCATGGCCCCTCTCCGCGCGCCGTGTCTCATCCTCCTGCTGCTCGCCGGCGGCGTCGGCTCCGCGAGGCAGCTCGATACGCAGCAGCCCGTCAACGTCACCCTGGCCGTGCTGCTGCCGCTCAACAACACCCGCTACGCGTGGGCCTGGCGACGGGTGGGACCCGCAATCCAGCTCGCCATCGAGCGGGTCAACGGCGCTGCCGAGGCGTTCACGCCCGCGTTGCGTCTGCGTCCCGTGTACGGCAACAGCGAAGACGCGCACGGCCAATGCTCCGAGTCGGCCGCGCCGCTCGCCGCCGTCGACCTCAAGTTGGAGCACAACCCCGCGGTGTTCCTGGGGCCCGGCTGCGTCTACCCGGCGGCTCCCGTGGCGCGGTTCACGACGCACTGGAAGGTGCCCTTGCTGACCGCCGGGGCCACGGCGTCGGGGTTCGACACCAAGGAAGGGGGAGCGTACGCGCTGGTGACCCGCGCGGGGCCGTCGCACGGCAAACTCGGCGGCTACGTGCGCCGATTGCACGCGCACTTCAATTGGACGCGGAGGGCAATGCTGCTGTTCAACGACGAGAAGACGGATGACCGGCCCTGCTTCTTCGCCACCGAGGGCATCTACCAGGAGCTCACCAAGTTGGAGAACATCACCGTCGAGCACTTTCCCTTCAAGGAGAGCGAGGGCGTGGACCGCCACAAGATCCTCCAGGAGGTCAAGAAGAAGGGCCGCAGTAAGAGTGATTTCTTTCTGTGATTGGCAGGGTCACATGTTACGTTGTTTAATACTCGTAATCGTAAGTGTCAGACCCCCCCCCCCCCTGTCTGGCAGCTGCTGAATCAAGGCCACCCGCGTCGGTTAAGGGGGGGGGGTTGATTGACCATACTTCATTGCTGGTCAGGGCGGGTTTGTGAAGGTTTAGAAAACACTCGCCACTGATGTTGGCCTTGACCCGCAATTGAACTCAGGTCACCGCTCCTTAGACGATTTATAATATCCAGGTTCCTTAAGAATAAAAAACCCTCAACACAACACATGGAGAAGGGCGATTGCCTGAAATGTCGCCGATTTAGTTTTTTTTTAAATATAAGGCAGTGAGTGTTGTCGACGAATGTGTTGAGTTGATTGTTAACTTTGCTTATGGACCACTGCCAATGCAGTATCACCAAATTGTTGTACACCCACATTGTATTATTCACGCATCCAACTGCACGCAACTAACAAATTGTTCATTTTGCGAATATTAAACACCATTGCCGATTCTTCAGTGCAGTGTACACCCACCCCGTGTGTCTTCGCGTGCGCATACCTACTATAATTTTTGTTAAACCGGATAACCCATAATATTGAAATTCAGTGAACCACACGTAGCCTTGTGCCACGTGTTAACAGTTGAATATTTTAGTTATGGTTATAAACAGGTAGCGATTTGGTCCTTGACATGAGCACATGGAGATTTCCTCTTTGTAATTAAGTCACGGGGATATTTAGCGTCCAATTTACATCACACAGCAGCGCACTTTTAGTGCCTGGTAATTACCCGCATCATTTACTCGCCTTTTGCGGCAGAACAGATCCTCGGCTCCGTACACAACGGCTGAATTGGCGAGCGCGTTCATCCTTTTACATTTTCACGGTGGGCCCAGTTGTTACACATGCAAAGCGCACCCTGCAAAATAGGCTAATTATCATCTTCAGCCGCATGCCACTCCAACCACTGGAAGAAGGCCTCCTCTGCCGTACGGACCATGGGGATTGTTTCACTATGGAGATTGCTTGACTATAAAGTGCTTCGCCACGCTGATCGGTGGAGGGGCAGGGGGGGGGGGGTTACAAGAACAATCCACATACGGTACCCGTTGTCACTGATGTTAGGCGTGGCCCGGTATTAAACTTAGACTCGCTGCGTTCATTGTTCATTGCGCAGTGTTGCCAACCACTGCGCCATCGTTCCTCTGTGGAATTCTGCTTTTTTACATTCCAATCCACTGCTGGATGAAGGTCGCTCCATGGCGTGATGGTGATGGGGGTTGTTGACCTTACTTCACCTCCCTGCTCACCGATTGGTGAAAGGGGTTAGGGGGGCCGCCACTTTTGTAGCCCGTGGCCGGGAATCCAACTCAGGTTTCTAGGTTCTTTAGGTGAGTGCGTAGCTATACTGCGCCCCCGTTCTCCGAACCCGATAATTCTAGTATTGTATAAAATGGCAATTATACACTGAATAACAGCATTTGTTTTCTCACTTTGTAATATATAAATGCGGAAAATTACCGTAATAGATCATTTAGCGCATAGAAATGCAAAACATGTTCTTGTAATTACGTGAGCAGGTAATCGTTGAATCATGGTGCCTCGATGCGGCTTAGCCACATGTAGCGAGAAGCTGCGAGGTGGTGGGAACGTCACGTTCACGTGAGTGACAATGCGTGGGGCAACTGCGGCCACTGGAGAACGTCGCTTATATCTTTTCGCGAGGAAGGTTGTGGCAAGAACCAAGGAATAAGTCAAACTAATAGACATCTAACTCCTGTGCTGAAGGAATGAAGAAGCTGCATTACAATGCAACATTTTCTATTTCGCTCGGCGTCCATTCACATGTAAACATAATAATACGCTCCTAATGATAATCATGCAAATGTACGGCCCTTTTTCAATCCACTGCTGGATGAAATCCTCCCCCATGCCATGTCGGTCGTGGGGATTGTTTGACCATACATCACCTATTGTGAATAGTGTGGGTTAGTAAAGGGTGCCCAGGACAGGTTCAGATTTCACTTGCCACTGATGTTAGTCGTCGCCAGGAATTGAACTCAAATTTCCCGTTTCAATGCGCGCACCACTGCGCCACTGGGTCTAGGAGTGCCACGATCCATTGGGGCTGAGGATTCGTCTGCACTTCTCTGCGTACGGCTCCATCCACGGGTCGTAAAGCGACTCCCCGACGGATAGCGATTATAACAGACGAAGCGCGCTCACTAACATCGTGCAGAACGCCGAGCACTGGAACAAAGTTGAATACAGCGAATTAGTTGCTTAACATGCGCACGGGCACGTTGTTGAAATAGACCATGTTTTTTTTCAGAAATTGGTTTGTGTTGTAATTACTAAAATAAATCATCCAATCACGTATTTATTTATCTTGCATACGTTTGACTACACACCATAGCCACAATCCTCATCACAAGGTATAGTTCCATTCTATCCACATGTCTGAAAGCATGCCTCATCTAGCTATAGGGAAATATTTATTCCGATGATCCGTGTTTATCCGTGTTTCGTACTCTCCGGAATCTGTTTGCGGATAAGTGGAGTTACTTCGCAAATAATTGAATCTGCAATGCTCGTCCCCCACATCGCCATGGACAATCAGAGATGAGTTCCTCTCTGCTGTAACTGCGCGGTTGAGCAACGATAGCTTTATAGTTCAAGCGTAGAAACATCCTCACCCCAAAACACGATTAAAAAAACATAATAGGCAGTGTACTGTCATGGCAATGAGGCAAGCATAGTACAATATAATAATTTTCATACGCAATTTCAAAACGGGCTTAATTACATTGAATATGCATGTGAACATGCATGGTTATATGTGCTGTGAACAGGGGCCATTGCTTTAAATGTCACATATTATATATTTTTGACACGTGTTGAGTTTTTTTGTGAATTTTATTGAACATTGGTGGATCGGCACCCATATTTACTATAATCAGTGGTGGGCGCACTGCTCGATTAACCCGATTCCCTGCCACGGCTAACATCCGTGGCAAATTGTATCTTTACCTGTCGTGAGTCTCCCCCTTCAACCAGCATTGTCCGGTGTGGTGAAATATGGACAAACAACTCCATATCCGACATAGCGTGGAGAGCCTTTCAGCCAGCATTGGCGATGACAGAAGCTGAAACATTCTCGTTATTGTATGAGAGCATTGACTTCATCCTAATGTTAGTCACTGTTACTGGAATGTAAATTTGGTACCGACCTGTGGGTTTGAGTATAGTGGCATGTCTTTTACAGACGTAAATTTTGCTCCTAATGATGAGTGTCGCTAGATAATCACAGTGGAATCCACGGAATAGAGCATACAGCACCTTAGTTTAGTGTCTCAGCTTGAAGACTTACGTGCATTTATTTCAAGATGATATTAAAATGGTTATTAATTTGATGTAGAAGGGCTGTACAAAGTGATGTGTTGCCATTGAAGAGGTTTATATATCATCGCAGTGAGACATTGCAATTACAATAGCAATCTATAATGTCTAGAAGTTCCATCATTGAAATCTCTGTGGTACACTTTCACCATCTCATCTAGTCATTAAATTACATTTTGTAAAATTTCAAACTCATGGATAAGGCATTTTAAAAAATACCATTGAAAATCATCATCATGCATTGTTAAGCTGGATATTTAAAGAGAACATTATTTTCTCAATATATAAACTGTAATAATGATGACCATACATTTGTCAATCGAAGGCCCCTTTGCACTTGTTGGTTATGGATGAAGGCCACTCACGCAAGCTGTTATGGGGGTTATTTGACCACTACTGGTCAGTGCGGGTTGGCGAGAACCCGGACTGGCTCATATCATTTACCAATTATGTCAGTCGAGGCCGCGACCTGAGCTCTAATCCATGTGCTAACTACTGCACTACCACACCACCCCAAAGAACAATTACTGTTACCATCAGTAACATCCCATCAAGTGGTGCAGTCAGGTGTGTGTATCCACTTTACTGTCCCCAGGAGCATGATGGGCTGATCCTGGGCAAAATTCTAACTCACGATAGCAATTCCACCAACTGTGTGTTGCATCAAATGGTGCAACTGAAAAACGCACAGGGAAAACCTTTGTGAATGATTCATAGTTAGTAGTCAATTACTAAAGTCATGCTGATTTAGACATTTCCTCTTTCTCCTTATTAACCCCCACCCTGCCCCTCCCCGTACTTTCCCAACTAGATGAATGTGATGTTTTGTGCTGGCAAGATATAAGGCTCATATTGGGAGGTTTAAACGCCTTTGCTCCTCCTATAGCCTGTAACCAAACCTAAGCATTCGATATCATTGATATCAATAAAATTAACATACAATTGGTTGTATGTTATCAGTTATATACGATTGATTTACTTAACCATCTGCTTGAAATGTGATTTGCCGGTTGTTTCGCTTGTAACTTGAGAATCACATGTGCTCGAAGGATTAGGACAAAAGACACGCAAAAAATATCCCAAAAAATACCACATTGTAAAAATACCAGTTGCTTTTTTCAAAATGGCGTGCCCTTACTTGGAGAGTGGGCAAAACACGTTTTAGAGAGACCACAAACAACTCGACGATATTCGCCTCACTGCCATCTGCGAGTCACGGGGCAATAGATACTGAGTGAATACCAGAGACTGCACAGCAGGGCGTGTTGGGACAAAGTGAAGAGAGAGAGTGGGGATTGCACTTCATGTGTCATACATCTATTGCGGTGAATGGACGGCGACTGTGGATATGGCTGTGGTCGTGGGCACTGTGCAAAAAAATCACCGCAAAATATATTTGTTCTATGTATATATATAATATCCATTTAAGTCACGTAGATATAAAAATAAAAATAAATGGAGCTGATTGGTGAAATTAGGAATAACTAAAAAACACTCATGGAAGTTTGCGCTGTTCACCTTAAGTGAAGGCGTCAGCAGCCACGATCCGTGTCCCACAAGGTCTCTGCTGATAATTTAAATGCT